TACCCATGATGCAACTCTGATATAATGACATAATTATGATAACGCTCAGACATTTAGTATTAATAATAGACTGTATTAATAATAATTAGTATTACTGTTATTATTTCTTTTTATGCAAAATTCATTTATTTTATTTATTTAAGATTGTCTACAATAGAATATGATTATAATAATAACAATACAATGACAATTTTAATATTCAAATATTATACTATTTTGTTACAATTATATCAAAATAATAATTACAATTACAATAATAATCATATAATATATTCATATCGCGCAATTCATGTAATGCCAGAGAAACTGTTTACTTTTTCTGTCGCAACGTACATCCTTGATTGTCTGAATTAAAGGTATCAGTTCTATCGCTGACCAAGCAATATCTACAGCACAAACTACGAAAATCGTTTTTTATGTACATGCTGCTCATCAACAATTATTAATTAGGCCCCAACAGAATGTTATTACTGGAATAATGTTTCCCAAGTATCAATTTCCTTTTGTTATTTGGTGTTGATATTTTCAAAGCTGTCTCGATTTTATGTTTTTCTCGCAAACTTAAGCGATTTTTTCTTTGTTATTCTTTGGAATATACAAATTGAGTATCTTCTTGCGATGAAGCCAATGTCCATGTTTATTCAGATGTATACAACGTTTTTAAAATAGGTTGTTACGTTAAGTCAAAACTGAGTTGATGCACACAAAAAAATGAATGCGACTTTCCTTTCGATATATATTATTTTTTGATTGAATCGAATACAGCCTTTTGCAAAAATTATGAGAATTGTTGAAATATCTAAATATCATAATATCGAGTGCATGATGGGTAATCCCGCGCGATGCCCTTAGTCCCTTGTCTTTGTAGTTTAGTTTTTTTTTTTTTTTGGCGACAGACTTATCCGTAGTTCTGAACATTTTCTCGATGTCAACAATGAATTATTCTAGCAAACCCGCGTGTTCCGGACAATATATGGATATAGATATTATGATATTTAGATATTTAGACAATTCTCATAATTTTTGCAAAAGGCTGTATAATGAAGCATTAGAATTGAAGTAATATAACACTCACTTGAGCTACTGCATTTCCTTACATATTTTTAGCGTTAGATTTTGACCTACATAAAACATTTTGAGATGCAGGCTTTATTAAAAGGGCTGTAAGCACACTTTCATGAACAACAAGGATCTTCGGAAAATGAGCCATCATAGTCAGAAAAGGGTTATGGGAATTATCTTTAGTTAATGACAAAAAAAAACGTGATAATCCTTGGATTCAAAATTAATTTCTCCCTTCTGACATTTTCTCAATGATCATTTTTAGATGGTTTAGTATGACTCACATTAATAGTGAGGTATCATAATTATTATTTCAATCTTACTTATAATACAGCTTCTTTTATCAATTTTTTTTAATGCCATGTCTTATGTCAAATTCATTGAGAACACTAAAACTTCGAATATCACGAAATCATTGAACAGCAATAATTGCAGTGAAATACGACAATGATCATTTCCATTTGAAAAAATATAAGAATATCAGGAAAACACTCTTTAATACAAAGAAATCAACATGATATATTTATAAGTTAAGTCTATATCAAAATTTGCCTCATGTTTCTGTATTATGATGTATTATTTCTGTATTTGCTTATTTTCTGTTTTTTTTTTTTGGTATTTTTTAATTGTTAAATAAAAAAAGAGATATTAAAAGAGGTATTTTATTAGAATAAAAAAAAATAATGTTTAGAGATCTTGAAGTATTTTTTTAAAGATATTTTCTTTGACCAAATGATCTTCACACGCTTACATCATCAATGTGCTTCTCATAGCATCCCATGAATTAAAAATTCATGTTTTCAAACTTTTTTTTAATTTACCAATTAAATAGAGGGCTTATTTAGCACCTTATGTCAGTTATCTATTAGTAGCATTACCAATTACTTTGAGTTTCTAATATAAAGTCATTTTCGATCGCTATTTGTTTGATACCCTCATTAACATTTTGTTTTGGAATAGCATCATCACAAAAATGCCTTAGTTCTTAAGTTCCGCTTAAAAATAATAATTAAAAAAAAACCTAATACGCTATGATCTTTTTCCATTTGCTATCCACAAAAAACATAGATTTTTTTCGTATTTTGGCAAATATTACATCCAATGATGATATGTAAATGAGTAATTAGCCTCCGTCGGTTCCTCTAATTCTGCACATTTGTAGACTACGGAAACACAAAAACATATCAACAACAGCAAATTCGTTTGTGTTTCGGATCTAGCAGAAGCCGAGTACACAGAATTAAACGTATAGATAATTCCTGTTGTATTTCGGAAAACAAATCCGTCTTACGTTCGGAAATACACTCAGAGTTACAAAAAAAACAATAGTCTCTGACAAGCAGAGAAGTGTCAGCTGACAACATACAGAATGGAGTTTGTGTAATCAAGTTTGAAAAATGTTGAACTTTCTCATCCATGGTCTTTTGGGAAAGGAACAGCCGCTAATTCTGCTGTCAAAACGAATGGCTTAATTTATTCATCTTGGGTTACTCTTCTTTTCAGTGACTCAACGTTTTGCCTATAGTTCAGTCGTCGATTTAGAAGTGATAGTTGGAGGCTGTGCTGGGACAAGATTGAATCAGGTGATTGGATCTTGAAGGTAATTAGAGAGCAAATTCGAGCATATTTAAGGAAACAGCCATTAAGAAGAAATATAGTGTAGCCGTTTGATTAAACAACAAAAAATAAATAATAATCACGTAGAAAATATAAGTTTAGATTTACGACCATTTTTTGAACATTCAGTTAAATAGGAGTATTTTTTTTTATAAAGGAAAATTTAAACAAGGCACCTCTACAAATCTTAATATACGCAGCATATATGACAAGATTTCTACATTCTTGTTGCATAGCATAAAAAAATCGATATGATGGATAAATAAACAATTATCTAAGTAAAAATTTCTTAAAATCAATCGTTGAAATGACTTTTACCCATAATTCCTTCCGGTCTATGGTCAAGTCGCGGGGAGTTCAGAATGATCAAAGCGACAACGACTGTGTAAACAAACCCAATGCAACAGAAAGCCGAGAAATTTAAATGAATACCGCTGCCGCTCAACGATGTCGCTAAAACAATTGACCGATCCTGATTCATTGTCCTAGCTACCTAGTTACAGTGTGTTGCTATGCCGGTGTTTGGTGATTAATCTATGTGAAGAAGGATATTTTGAATTATAGAGAGTTTAAGTATCACGTTGACGGCAAACGGCTAACGGCAGAGCTGAACCAATGACCAAAATGACCTAAGAATTTCGTGTCCGACCTTGTGCTTTTGGTAGTCATTTGAAAGAGCGGCTTTTCAYGATTATGGCAACCTCAAAATAACCCGCTCTCGCGTTGAAACCGCAACGTTAAACTCCCCAAAAAAGCCAGTCACGTGATCTTTTCTGCCGTTTGCCGTGAACGTCATGCTAAACCTCTCTTATGATGATAGCGCGCTTTACTTAATTAAAAGCGTCTGTTACTGGCAGAACTCAGCCTTAGTTCACTGCAAGTAAAGTCGTTCAAAAACAATGTACTCCTATGTGAAATTCAATAACAATGATAAGAAAGAGAAAAGAAGCATACGTATAAATTACAAATTGAGCACTTAATAAAATAATAAAGTTGAAATTCAGAACAAGGAATAGAAGCAAATCGAAAAAAGCTAAAGAAAAACAAACAAGAAATAAGTAAAAAATATGAACTTGATTTTTTAAGGATATGGTAGATTTAATTTTTAAGATCTATTTTGTAGTTGATCTTACTGTTATTTTATTATTTTTTTATTTTTTTTAATGAATGAATGTTTAATTTTAATATTTATTTTGTATTAGAATATATGTTGCTGTTGTTTTTTGTTTTTTGTTTTCTTTTGTTCTCTTTTTTTTTAATATTGAATTCATGCAATCTTAGCGCGTCCGGAATATTATTAAGTACTCGAGTACCCAATGAAAATATTTAGTGTTCAAACTCTGATAAAATACCTTTGACCATAATAACGACATATTATTCTATAAATGACCATATATGCCAAGTATAATTGTTATGTCTGAAATGGCACAGACACTTTACCAGGATAATGAAGTTGGTCTGTTTGTTATTTCAGGCCCGTAGGCTGAATTACAAATGGGAGGGTTCGTTTTTTTATAATGCCGGCCTAAATTAAATGTTTTTAACTAAATTAGTTCAATGCACAGTATAATGTATAAGAACTGGCTGCTAGTATGAGCAGTTCATAACAAATTCCTCTCAAAAACCGTTAAGTTCATAACAAAAGAAATTTGAAATAGAACAGTAAAATTTAAAAGAGAAGCACCGTTTCATAGTATAGAGCTACTAATGTCAACACAAAAGATAGTGAAGATCTAGACATTCATATCTATACTTTGAAATTTGAAATAGAACAGTAAAATTTAAAAGAGAAGCACCGTTTCATATAGAGCTACTAATGTCAACACAAAAGATAGTGAAGATCTAGACATTCATATCTATACTTTGAAATTTGAAATAGAACAGTAAAATTTAAAAGAGAAGCACCGTTTCATATAGAGCTACTAATGTCAACACAAAAGATAGTGAAGATCTAGACATTCATATCTATACTTCATTGAAAGCAGAAGTGATAAAAAAAACATAAAAGAACTTTGAGATTTGTACTTATTGTGAATTTTTTTCTACAAGGAAATTATTTTACCCACCAAAATGAGATATATTTTGCTGGTTTGTGAAAACGTAAAGATTTTATCAATTCAGACTCATTTAATTTTATTGTTTCGCCCTATAGATGTAATCTATCTATGTCAATATTAATTTCAAATGTGAACCAATTGATAAACACAACTTACAGAGTCTCACAGGAAGTCAGTGATAGAATTCAAGATGGCGGCGATGTTAAAATGTCGTAAAGATGCAAATGCTATCGTTCAGAAATGAGGAAGTCCAAAGGACTTGTCACCAATGACGAATAGTGACTAACACTAGGCCAATTTTCACTCTCTTTCCGCTATAAATTATCAGTTTAAGAAAATCTCAGGATTATATGAGCCAAAAGGGATTTCATTGTCCAAAATTATCCGTACAATCGTATCATCCGAATTTAAAATCTTGGCTAAGTCTTCTAGTACCTGTCGTATTACCTCGCGGCACACATCAATTAACAAAGCAAACTTCAGTTTAAAGAGAGCTTTTTCTTTCCACTAAATCACTTATTTTCGGTACGGTTGTGTTGTTATTTTAGACTTAATCACGTAAAGACAACTTCTAAGGAAATCTCAAGCCATTGTCTTCAATTGTCTAAAAGAGTATTGAAATGTCACCTTTATGTTGATACACCGATCATTCGTGACATGGAACCGAAAAAGCCAATATATTTTCTTTGAAGGTATAAATGTCCACAATGTAAGCAAGCTATGCTAGATTTGTATAACAGCTGCTCTTGGCTTTCGCTTGGATCTAGGTAAAAAGGAAAGAAAGATTTTCGGGAGAAAAAAAACGAAGTAAGTAAAGACATTTCATTTTTTTCTCGTTAATGTTAAACAAGTTTAAACTCACAAATGCTTAAAATGGGTTTTCTTGGTTAATGGTTTCAAGGAAATTATTTTAGAGATCAAACGTTTAAAGCATAAAGATTCATGATCTAGTTGTATAGAATATAATCGAATTCAGTAAGTACATGGACGAACACCTTTTGAGAACATTATACTAGTTTAAATTTGCACTTTCAGTTACCCCTGAAAATTGCTTCCGTTGAAATATCTGTGGATTTATTTATAGTTATGATGCTGTACAGTCTCTCTGTATGATTTTCAGTGATATGTATTCTGCTCTTATCTTTCATTTCATAAGTAGTGGTTTTGAAAATTCCATTCTGTTTTCTCCTAATCTTAACTTGTGTTATAGAGATAGTGAAGTTATTACATAACGCTTTGATTATTTGTCCATTTATTCCAGAAATTAAGTTTCTAATGGTAAGTTATCAGTAGTGGATGCCTGTCTATATGTCTGAAATACGCAGTCTAAATATTCATTCTGCACCAGCGAATGTCTAGCATCTAATAATTATCCTAAGTACTTCAGTTTCACCTTTAAGAATATAATTATAATTTCTTTTATGGCTTCATATCGGCACAGGATCGTTTATAATTAACACCTATAACCCTTTTTTAAGAACAACACATTAAAGTAAAGTCCTTTTAATTTTATTTTTTGACGTACTGAAGAATGCAACACTTGAAAAAAATGCCGTAGAATTTTGGCATTTGTTTAATATATAGTGACTGTTTTAATTTATTAAAGCGCATATTCGCTAAACATAAGAAAGTGACCACTGACTAAGGTGTCGGATTATATTTTATTGATATTAAATTCCTAATTTTCCTTAGTTTCAATCATTTAGTACTTCAAAGACTGTTCTAAATTTAATCTTAGAATTGAGAGTACATATTTGCTAAAATCATATTCTCCAAAACTGCTACTTCATAAGGTGGCGGATTATTTTTATTCGTGCAATTTTCAATCCGTACAAGTTCTCTGACACTGAAGAATTTCAATACTTGCAAAACTGTCGTAGCTGACACATTTGGTGTTTCTAAGAATCTGAATGATTTCGAATACAACTATTAAATTAATAACGTAACACTGAAAACAGCTTGACTGATTTGTCAAACTTTAAACATGGATGAGCTTTTAAAACAAAATACACCACTGAGCTCACACAAAAGATCAACTGAGAAAACATTTGCAGATGAATGCTGTGACAACACTGGAAAAGAAATCATAAAAACTGATGATTGGATCTTTCGCACTTAGTCTTTTCAAAGAAATAAACTGAGCAATAAAAAAACTTGGAAATGGTTCAAGGCACATTAAACTAATCCTATAGCATCATGATTATAAATATGCAAAGTTCCTCTTAAAAAAACTCGTTTAACCTGATTACGGCATTTTCACGTGAATGATTCGTCATTCCCGCCCATTTGTAGTTTGCACAGATTTCAAGCTAAGACGTCCGGAGAGTTTTAAGATTTTAAATGTTTTTTACTCATTTACTGACGACAGAAAACGAGTTTACGGCTGAGTCAAAACGTTTTGTGGGTGTAATGACCATAATCCTCTCATTATGTGCTTTATGTGGCCGGAGATTTTCAACCAATTGTTGTTTCTCGTCTTTTCGCTGTTTTAACAGGAGAAAATTGCACTTACATATTCCTTGAAAAGAACGCATATATTACAAATGACTCCAATATTCCACTATAAAAATGGCATTAACTTTAGTCGTTAATCAGTATTGATTTATTAGTATAATTTCAGTTTTAAGTCGGTTATTTATAGCTATTTATAGTTTACTGGGCAATCGGAAAAGGTAACCAAGCCTTTGCATCAAACCAAGACAGGAGTTGAGACTGCAGCAATCGATTACATTTTGCTTACGTCCAAACTATCTTAGATTTAGAAGAAGATATATCTATCTTCTTCCTGGTAGAACGCTACTTGCAAATATTGAGAGGCACTGCTAAACGAAGAGTGATCTATGACGTCATTTGGGGACCTATACATGAAGAATCAACCGCTTTTTGCCATGTTATTTCCCATTGCGAGACTTCGGCTCCAAGGAATATCTTTAAACCGCTTGGCTAGACTGTATTTTATGTTATAGAGATGTATCCTAAAACTAAAAAAAATTAATAAATAAAACGGACCAATTTTCGGATCCCAATATATCATAGTATAGGAAAATAATCTTTTTGAGAAAATTGCTCAATATAAATAGCCAAAGTATTTTCAAATTGTTTTGTTTTTAAGGCAAATCCAAGGATGTTTTTTTTTTAAAGTGGTCAGTCTTACGTCAACTAGTGGGTTGTCCGTTGAAAAGCTGGCGACTCCACTTGGCAAATATCTTGATAAGACATTCTTATAAAAGCTCTTGTATAGTGGAGTCGGAATCGCGTTTTTAAATGCCTTCCCACCTTCAAACTTTTGAACCAAGAGAAGATTGAAGATGATTGAAGATGGCGCATTTGCAAGGCATTGCTGGAAGAAAACATTTAGGGAAAAGAAATAGAATTCAAGTACTATTGCAGAATAATCTAGCACCACATGATATTTTCTTAGTTCATCTGTGGGTCATCTTAATGACGTATAAAGAATGAAAAGGACAGAACTATGTCGAAAGAATAAAAAAAACTCACAAGAAAGCTGTTGTTCGTAGTTTTCTAATGAAAACAATAGATAAAGATGGCGTCAATTGAAACTAAACAATAGATCAACAAAATATATATTTTATATATACAAATCAGCATCTTTTTTAACTTGTTGGCCATTAAACCAGTAAAACAATTCCTCTGATTGGTTAGTTTTTTGTTTAAAAAAATAATATCAGAACTGATAATGAATCGAAAATGTAAAAGAATTACTCAAAGATTTCTACATTTGCACGATCAACTGCTGTCTCGCTTTGGTTCAAAGGCTAGGCTACCTTTCAAGATGGCGTCGCGAATTGTAAAATGGAGTCTTAATACTCAAAAACACACAAATTCATTCAGAAATTTATTCCAAATTGTTCAAAAATAACACTCAATATACCTCGGTATATATAAGTCCAAAATGTATAATTAATGATGTTTTCTTACAACTTTGAAAATCAGAAGAGATTATTGGCATTGTTTTGTCTATGCTGAAGTTCGAGACTTTATTAAATTCAGTAATAAACCGGCAATTGTCTTATCAACCAATCACAATCGCTTTGTCCTATAAACATTGGAACAAATTCACTGGGTTAATTCCCTAAAACTATAATAGTTTCTATTTGTCTTCAGATATTCTACGACTAGAAGCAGGCAGAAAAGGTAATGATCGTGTAAATTCACTGTAAGTTTGGAAATCACCATAATTATGCGTCTAGACTCTCAATATAACATTTATAATTCCATATTTCAATTCGGCAACGAAGTTCTATGCATTGTTTATATCTTCCAAAAATATCTATGTTTTTCTTGCTTATTGGCTTTTTCATGTTAAAAAATCGTACTCTTTTTATTTTTAAGTCTTTGGTTTATAAATTGTATATAATAAAGATGGTAAATAAGAATTATTTGCTGATAACAAATGATTGTTTAAGATGTTCGTATTTTTTTTGCTTGCGAAGTGAAATTCACCTAAGAGCAAAACGCGTTCCTTTTGTTTTTGACGTTGTTTACATTCTTTTGCCATCCAGTATGCCGGATTTTGTACCATGTGACCGTTTCATGCAAAAGACCTATTCACAAAAAATGCCATTTCGTCGTTTAGCCAATATTCAGTTTAGAGTATTTGCAAAATGAAAAGGGAATCAGAACTACTAAGGGGTTGTTGAAATGAGAAAGGGTGGACCTAACTAGGTGGGCTACAGGCAACCTATCTCATGTACACAAATCCTAAAGAACTTAACAGTTCAGAATATTTGCAAAATGAAAATCGATAGGAAATCAGAACTACCAGGGGGTTGTTGATATGAGATAGTGTGGACCCTAAATAGGCGGGCTGCCTTTTTCGTTTTCTTTCAAACAAATGAGTGAGGCTATAACTAACTAGAGACAACCTATCTAATGTAGACAAACTCTAAAGAACTTGACCTGTTATGGAATAAAAATTTCTAAATTTCTCTTGGAAAATTAAAGGACTACCCTTAAGCTTAAACTGGTTTTAGAACAATAAAAACTCATTGTCAAACAAAACTGTGCTTCACTGAAAGGTGTTGTCATAAAGCTCCGAGACAAAGAAATTTTTTAGAAAAAAATTCAACTGCGAGCGACAAATGTCTCAATAGGCCATGTTTTACAGTTCTCTCTCGAATACTGGGAAAGTTCCCTAATGAACCGTTATCCCGAAGGGATGCCAAAGGCAACTGTACTAAGGAAGGCGAGAGAAACTCGTATAAATCTTCACCTTGATTGTATTTATTAACTATGGATGACAAGAATTTGCCCGCTGACACGTTTCAAAAGTATGAATTCACTCGAAACTCTGGGAAATCGTTCTCTCATGGTTTCCATGTTATCATGGAGCTCGAGAAAGTAGATTTAAAATTTAAATTTAAGTAAAAAAAAGTTGAAAATGTAGACAGTTTCCGTCATTACTAATTTCCAAGGACATTGACAAAATGAATAATGAAAATTTCACCGTCGGCTTCGGCAACTCTTTGAGAATTCATTAATTGCTCGAGTGTCATGAGTGAGTGAGTTTTTTATTATGCGGATGACTTCTAGTAGCCAGGCGTAGAAATTGAAGCGGGGACTATGCGACTGTACGTTTCCCGTCCCGCACTCAAAAGGGTAATTAAAGGTTGTTTTTTTTTATAGAAGTGTTTATTGCAAACCGCCATCTGAGCACCTAACAGATGCTAACCTGTGGTAAAATAAGATGGGATTGAGACTGTTAAGTTTTTAATACAGCTTTAATAACGCATTATAGTTAACGTCTTCAAGAGACACATTGTTAAGAACCATAGTTAATAGTAAGAGAGGACTGTCCTCTCTATTAACAATGTAAGAACATATGGAGGAGCTACCCTTTAAAAGATTATGTGATTTGAGATTTTTCTAGAAATAAATCATTTGTTTATAACTCTTTCGAGAGATTAAACTCCGAAGAAAGTTTCGAAAATGCTAAAGAACATAATAAGTATAGTTTGAAACACGAGATCAGAGAGAGTGTTTTTAATTATCAGGTAAACTCCGAAGAACGTTTCGAAAAAGCAGGCAATTTTCCAAAATTTCATTGCCAATAAGAGTACAGACAATGTAAAACCGCCTGCGATTTTTTTTTCTATAATAACAAGTAGTTTTTCCCATTTAAATCATTGTTTATTTTGCGGGATTCTGCGTAGTTTCACTTGTAAATTGTTTTGCGTGACAAACGTGACTGCTGTACTCGTCGTTGCCATTGTCTAAACTCTCAGTGACAATAGCTCTCAACCAATCAGCGCGCGAGAAATCCGCAAGTTCTTATAAAAAGATGAATTTACAATATTTGTTTGTTTTGAAGAACATTGTTTGCTCATATACACGACTCGTACGCCATTTTGAAGTGTCCTATTTTTGCTGACGAAACAAAGTTATCATGATCACATATTGTAAAACTTCTTGATACCAAACGTTGGATTTCCTACTGAAACTTTCATAGTTCCTGATACCGCTGTTTGTGATCTATTGATGATTTCTACCATATGTCATTTAAGGTTTTTGTTTATAATAAAAAATTGAAATAATTATAATATTTTCATATTTTTACGCATTGATAGGTGATTACAAGCTTTGTGTTTGCCTACACTTCAAACAAGGTGTGGTTTCAAACCAATTTTAATCTAATCGGCTTTATTTCAATGAAATTTAATATCAATGCAAACATAATAAACTCGTGAACAACGGATGGTTTGTTATGTTATATTATTTTCCAGACGAGGCAGGAAGTTTTCTTAAGCAATCGAGACAGAGAGACATCATAAACTTGCAATTTATCTGTTTATATTATAAAAAGATGAGTACCATCGCCTACGGCAATAACCGGCCCTCTTGGTTGTACTCGGCACTTGGATGGTAATTTTCAGGATGAGCCGACTGGGTCTCTTCTTTTTAATTGGCGTTCTTCCTTCTTTGAAATATTTTTTTTTTCGTTTTTAAGGTCAAAAAAGGTTTTATATAACGCTTTTATGGTCAAAAACGTTTAAAAAATTTTCTTAAAAAATTTTAAGAAAGGTTGTCACTGTCAATGTGATTAGTATACAACAATATCACAAAAGGTATTAAAGAAGTGAATATTATATTTTGGGAGAGATTTGCGCATAAAGCTCATACAGCAGACCTTACCAAACACAAAAGAGAGCACGAGAAAATGTTGTAATATAAACAATAGGCCTAAAAATTTAGTATTTTCCCCGAATAAACCCTTTTAGCGATCTCTTTTACGCTGTGTTGGCCTCAAAACTATGTAATAAATTCTCAAATTAACGGCTCGCGTAAATGCAAAAGATCCGTGAATATAGAAGACAATGGAACCCTAACCTTTAGGCCTTCTGGGAATACATGGTTAGTTAATTTTTTAAAAAAAGGCAAATTTTCAAGGCTATTGTAATAAAGGCATTTTTTCGAGTTTTCTTTTTTGTTTGATAAGATCTTTGCGTAAGAGAATCTCAGTTGTCAAATAAAACAGCGATTATACGCTTTCAATTCGAAAATGGAGTATTGGTAGGTTATTTCTTTTTTGATTATATTTTAAGAGGTGCAATTGGTAATGATAAGCCCTAAAACATAATATATGCATTGATAAAAGCATTCAGGGTAATTCAATGATGTCTTGTTCAAAGCTTCTTCTGATTGGTTCAAAGTCAAAGATAACGAATTTTCGCACGTGAGAAAATCGTGCAAAGGCTCTTGGATGCATACGGGACTTTAAAAAGTTAATCAACGTTTGACAATATTGAAAGGAGACGCTTTGTGTGTTTAAAATGTACGAACGCTTTTAAGTGTTAAAGATATAAAAATATAAGTTATTTCACGTGTAGAGCAGATTCAAATTTGAAAGTTATCTGTGTACATAGTTAGTACATTCCAAGGCGATTTTCATTAAAAACATTAAAGGTCCTAAATGGAAATATTCTTATTATTGTTTTCCTTGAGTCGCAAATTTTGAACATATCATATCTAATTAACTATAGATGTGTATTTTCGAGTATCAGTGAAAAATAAAAAGGGAAATTAAGTGACGGCAACCCAGATATGCAATGTACAAAATCTCAAAAAAATATATTATTAGTATTATTGATTAAGGCTTTTATTACTTAATAATACACCTTCAAAAAATTCAATCTTATCCCAGCTATTTAGTCCTGGTCCGGGTTGCTCAAAGCTCGATTAGCGCCGATCCTGGGGTAGCTCTTCAAGGTTTTGTAAGATCTTATCCGATCGGTTTAATAGCTCTTTGATGAATAAAAGAAAACAATAGGATTTAAGAACGAGGAAACAATGAGCATTGTTTTATTCCTCCAATCAAAAAAACTTACAAAAGATAACAGTGATCCTGGGTTAACTCTTAAAAAAACCTATAGAGTTAACCGTGGATTCACGCTTAATAATTGAGATTTGAACAACCCGGACATGCATGGACTATGTAGTGACGTCACAATTTCACTTGAAATTTTCAAATGCGTATAATTCACAAAAATAAGCATTTTTAGTCGAAACCTTCACGATGCCAAAAACACAAGTCACAAAGGATAAGAAATAACGCTTTTGAGTAGGGATAAATCTTTAATTCACTAGAAATTGATACATGCGACAGGAATAGATGATCAATTATCGTACTTGTAAATTGATGAGAGTCGCAAAAAATCATTCCCTGGAGAAAGAAATAAGTAAGCACCGGAAAAGTTCCAAAAAAGTTGACTTAAGTGATGAAAGCGGTTTTTTACTTTTGGTTTAAAGCAGGCGAATAATATAAAGAGAGTTTTTTTAATTCTGCTGGCTGAGAATCAGCGAGAAAAAATTAATTGTTCGACCTTTTGGTCTTGTAAGAAAAAAAAACACCTTTATCTAATGAAAAATCCTTGTAGGAGGGAAAAAGATGTTTTCAACTTTTTTTTACCTTTCTCGACTTCGATTACTATCGGGAATAAACCACAGTTCAACAGCCAACCAGGATGCTGTAGTCGTGATCATAATCCGCAGTTTGGTGTATATTAATATATGGAATAGATAATGTCAGACAAAATGGTCTCCTAATTGTAAAAGTATGGAGCACACTTAAGTGTGTTTCACAGATTTAGACACAACTCTTTAAAAGTCCGTGTAAGTAGATTTGTAGGGTATTTCAGCTTAAATTGTTACGTATACTTTAAAAGAAAAATACGGGTCGTACATACACTATAAACAAATTCAAATTAGTCTTTCTTTATTTCTCCATTTCTCTCCTTTTTAAAGAGAAGTTTCGATGAAACAAAGGTCGAAAAAAGATTATACAAATTGATATGAACCAACGAGGAATCTGTAGAAAATAATATAGCAGTATTCCAGAACGTCACCGCTTATTTCGATTAGCATTTACAGCATGTCGACACCAAGGCAGCACGTAGCACAAGTAATGGGAATTTATCGCATAAAGCAATTTTAAATACTGAAAGACCGCCATCAGTTTTAACTGGGATCGCATTTGTGTTTCATTTTTTAAAGTGCCTTCAAGGAAAACAGATAATTACAATGGAATAAAGAATGTTCAGATCTTAGCGCCGCGCCTGGCTAAATGAAACGTAACTAATATTAATTTCTATGTATATCAATACAAAGTGCATAAAGTCCAAGGAACGCATAAAATAATGGCAGCGACAGAACTGACGATGTCAGTATTACTTAAGCTTTTCATCACTTCGTGATGTTTCGGTTATTTCATATTCAATATTTTGCTCAAACCAACCACAGCCATTAAAAGTCCCAAATCTATCGGGTCATCTCTAAATTGATTGGGAAATCATTCGCATGCTGGCAAATTATTATATTTTTTTCGCAAACACACTGAGTCCTACTCTACTCATTAAGTGCTAAACTGTAGAGCGTCTCTGTCACTTGGTTGCTCAACCCTATCTAATCGATGGGTTTCTTCGACTTATTTTCGTTGAAGTACCTAGCTTATTACAATTCAAATGGTCTTAGATGACAAAAAGGCTTCATTTCCATCAGTTAGATTGCCTTTTTGATAAGCTCACACCTGATAGGAAAATTGGAATTGAAATTCTCCAGTATTCAAGATAGACCGGCAATGTTAATTGCGCACTCCGATCGCGGTAGGAAAATTGAACCAGACACTCAATATTCCAACCGAACTCTACTCATTCTTGTTATTTTATAGTAATCGCACTTATTCATACATTATTACAGAGGAAGTCTATACATAGATTCAAGGAGCTTGTACGTTGGGGGGTGCTCTGAAAAACACCTCTGATTTTGTTACATAGAGTAATATTTTACTTCAAATGTTAATGTCAAATTTTGGGTTGTTTGCAGTGCCCAATTGTGTGGATATACTGCCTTATTACCAATAAGCAATTACGCCGATTCTGTTTGTCTTTTCAACATATATCCTGGAGATATCATTTCTGTGGACTATGTTAACATCTGCTTGCATTCTCAACTCACTTTGTAAAGGATTTCTGCGACGCAAGGGTCTATTCTAAACGCTATTCAACGCCGGGGAAAAACTTCGAAAATGTAAGTAATTTGTACCATTTTTTAATAAACACTCGCTGATTCTATAACATTCAATTTTAGAAAAAAACTCAAGCCTTTAGTGTCATGCAAAGAGAAGTTACTATTAAGATCATGGACAACAATTTTAAGTGTGTCAGTACAGTAAAAACAGCCAAATTTCACACGCAAAAGACACAAGAAATAATTTTTGAAAAGAATAGACATTTTACTTAAAAAGATACAAAATTTACCAAAATTAACTTGGTTTAAAATTTATAACTTGTGCGCAGTGCATTTATATTATATACATTCCCAGCTCGCTTCATTTGTTATTGTCTATTGAAGTTAAAAATATCTATTCTTGAATCACTGGACATACAAAAATAGCCAAAACAAAGATATGTTTAAAAGGTCATGTAGTGAGAATACTTATTTTACGAAAACAATGGGAACTGAACACTTTAAATATACAACGGAAATGCTTTGGGTTTACAAGAAAAGCCAGTTACATCGTCCGGCCTATGTTGGTGAACTTTATTAGCGATTTTAGAGTGTTACAGGTATTAACCACATCCAATTTTAATAGTCAGTAAGAGTGATGTTAATGCAGAATCCTTGAGACAGAAACAGTTGTGATAGACAGTAATAAAAAATTCAAGGTGAAAGGCGGACAGACGAGTGTCTCGCTGGGAAGTTTAGAAATTGGTTAATGGCCTTTCCGACACTAGAAACAACGTCCAAACCATCGGTGTACCCTCTACATGTTGACGGTATATAATTTGTACTTTAATTAAAAGTTTCTATGATAAACGCCGCTGTAGTTTGCATTAGTTTAAAGGGACATAAACCACCGGCATCCCTTTCGAGCTTTTGTTTATGTTTAAAAATAAAAATACATTAAGTAACATAACTAAAAACGTACTCTTTATTATCCCGTTATGCTGTATGAATGGAAAATTGTAAGATTCAAGCTTAAATCCGACGGATGGAAACGGATTGTGAAGAATGGATATTTGAAGAAGCCTCATTTTCCCCATATTCTATAAAAAAATCCATTGAAAAATGGTGGACCATGCCCTTATTAGAGTCATCAGTTTAACCGAGAGTTAGGATACAGGAAAATCTTAGACCGTGGTCTTGATAGGTACAGGCGAGTATAAACCCGTGAAAATAAAGTCAAGATAGTCAAATAAACACAAAAGAAAACACATTGGAATTCGCCATTTTAGAAACTCACAATGTTTGCATTCTAAATTAGTATTACTCTTTATTACATTTCTCTTCTTTTTTTTCTGTTTTCTTTTGTTTTCTTTTCTGATATTTTTTTTAAATCTATTCCCGTTGTTTTGCACTTCATTATACTTTCACTATTATCGATTTGTTGCACGAGAGTTTTTTCATGAATCCATGAAATGTATCTGATCGTACTTGCGAATACTTCGGCTTATTTTGCGTGTTTTTCTTTGTCTTTTCAAGGTATCACGCATTACACACTGACTAATAATACTAATTCGTTTCACGGGTTGAGGAAATCATTAATGAAAACAAGTCGACCAATATAGCCTGGTAGTCTCCCTAATTAAGTCTGTTGTTTTGCTTTGTGTTTTTTCACTAATCACACCTCCGTGAACATTGCACTTTGCTTCAGTGCTGTCAAGTCTTGTTCTATTAATGGCTTACAAGATGACACGGAAAACTTGCAAATGTGCATACTCGATTTTAATGGAATAAAGTACTTGCTTCCATTCAATAACCAAGATAAGATTAACAGTAGCTTTTTTTTTCAAGCACTATTCAGAACACGTTTGATAACGATTTACAAAACCACCATCTATTGTGACATCTGATGCTAATTTTACTAGTGATAATTAGAAATTTGTCCCTTGTGGGAGAAAAAAGAAGAAGTTACTAAAATGATTCAGATGTTTTATAAATTTTCAGTAAGTACAATAATCTAGGCAGTTTTTAATGCATGTCGGAAAATACTCTCTCCTCCTTAGTGTACCTCATTTTATTTCAACCATCGAGTAGCGCGGTGAGAAATCGAGCATGTTTCGTTCGTCTTATCTTTCTTTACCTACTCTCAATTTCAAGCGCCTACGCATGAAACACCCTCTTTGCAGGTCACTTTTAATTTAATTTGATTCAAGGCGAGAATATGAAAACCTAACAAAAATATTTAGTCGTTTCACAGTTCAGTTTCTGAAGGGAAACTGTTCATGATGCTTCTATACTAGACGAACAATTATCCGCTTCGGAGTCTTTTGAAGCAAAATATTTACCCCTACTATTCCAAGAATTGTAAAACTCTTTGAATATCCTTTTTTATATAATTTACGATTGACTTACTTCAATAAAACGTGATAACAATAAAAAAGCGTTTTTAATTTTTGCCCCCTTTCAAAATAAACACATTACAAACACCGCGCCCTTGCAACAAACCGCCTTGTTTTTTGAAGTTTCGATATTTCGATAATGTTTACGGATAAAGAGATGAGCTAGAGTCAGAGTGTCTAGTTTAAAGTGGACAAAATCTAGCCACAAAACATAACATGACTGATATTAATAGGATGACAAAGTTCCGTCGATTTGAAATAAAAAACTCAATCCGTATTCGTTTCTCAACAATGTGATAATTTAATTGAAAACAACTACTTCCTACAAGGCCAAAGATGATAAAGATTTTTCATTTATAAACTAGCTGATAAGAGCGTTCGGGGAGCACAGATCTGATGACAGCCTTATGAGTATTATGCTCATATAGTTTTAAAGTGTTAAAAACAGCTGATAATCAATTCTACTTGAAAAGTATTTTAGAGATGGCAACTTTATATAACGAAGAAAATGGATCCGTGGAATCGTCAAAACTTTGATTCATAGTAAGATTTTAATTCAATGTTTCCAATATGAGCGCTGCATTTTCATCACACCCTCACGATACTTTTGCATTAGAAAGTGCGAGATAAAGCAGGTACGTAGCTAGACGAAAATGGTAGCCCAGTCAATGATTCGCGGAAGGTGATTGTTTTCCGAAAAGCTTTATCAAAAAGATTTATTTTCTCATCTAAAATACAAGTGAAACGAAAGGACAGCAGATAAAATCATTACTGGCGTTCGTCTCAGTTTGCCTCATACTAGCTTGCCAATGCAATGCACAGTTGAGAGCCAATAAGCCGGCTCATGAAATGATTTCAAGTGAGATATATTTACACTGAAAAAATTTCCCTTGTTGCGATTAATTTTAATACTAAACTTTTCTTATAGCGCAAATACAATTTTTTCGTGCTGGTTTAAGGACTTTCAATAAGCTACCTTATTGGGCGTCGAAGAAAGGATAGAACAAGCAATAATGAAGTATCGGAAATCTGCCTAACTCATTGTAAAAAGGGCTATTTAAACAGCAGGGGCTTGAAAACACAAAAGATTCTAATATTGTTTAAGATTAAGCTTAAACTATATACACTACTTTGGTTGTTAACACTTCAAAGTGCAACTGTAGTATTAGAAAAGTTTGATATCCAAAATATTTACATCAGTCTGAGTCATATGATTCTTGACTGAGAGTGCATTTTTTCAAAATGTTTCTCGATGTTTCTGAGGTCGGCTTTGTATTTTGTTTCTCGGTCGCTTTGTATTTTGTTTCTGAGGTCGCTTTGTATTTTTATTTATTATTAATATTTCTACAGTAATACATGTCTTTGTTTTATATGTTGATTTGCTATTGGTGTCATCGTTTCGATTTTTTTTCCAATTTCGGAAGATTGTTAGTTAGTTTTTTATTTATTATTATTATTTCTACAGTAATGCATGTCTTTGTTTTATATGTTTATTTGCTATTGGTGTCATCGTTTCGATTTTTTTCCAATTTCGGAAGATTGTTAGTTAGTTTTTGTTCATTTGATATGATTAAAAAATGGCGTCTAACTTCCGTTAATTGACTTTGAAAAGCCGCGAGAAGAGCGATTATGAAAACAGGGTGTTAATATTAAACTGTTTATCGACCAATCGAAGAGTAATTACTTTTTGCAATCCGTCACAACTGGAGAGGAACTCGACCCGCAAATAGCTTCCGTTTTTTCTTTGCTGGTATTTTTATAATAATCTGACATTCTGAGGAAGCAGCCTAGACTTAAATTCTAGATTTTTTGTCGACATTCTAAAACGTTTTTTTTTTTTTTAAGAATCTTAAATTCAAAGCCACTGTCACGGTAAAGTAAAATAAAATTGAGTCACCTCGGACGCCGAGAGGAAATTTTGTAGAGCGCCCCGGTAGTTTGAGTATAGCTAACTTGATTGTCATTGGTCCTTCACTGCTGTAATCAGCAAAACATTTCAATACATTTCTATGAATGTATCGGAGAAATAAAGGAAGCGGCGAAATTAGAAAACTCGAGAAAAAGTTATTTTTTGACCATTTTAAAAAGTCTTCCGGTTTCAATCTCCATATTTAGTATTCATCACTATCGTTCAGTCAGTGTCAAACAGGAGGTCCGGGTAAGAGGCTTATTTCTAAATTTCTATTTACTTTCTTTTGTTTAGCAGGATAAAAAGATTTCCGCCAACTAAAGAAATACTATTAGTAATCCGTCGGCAAAATACTAAAATTACTTAAAGTTCTGTCACACTTCACATCAGTATTTAACATTTAAATCTCTGTTAATGAATATCTGCGTCCACACCTCAATATCTAGCTGTCGACTATTAACATTATCCACTTTCCAGCGAGTGTTTTCGTTGGTAACTGGCTCCTCCAGCCTGATCGTGTAAATAAAAGCTGCGTTTATTATTTATTAGTCCACGCAATGTTGTGAGAGTGAATGATAAATATTATTATTTAAAAGTAGATTCCATTTTTCCGTACTTATGTACTCATGTACACATGTGACAAGAATGTGAAGAGAACAAGTGTTACAGGAGACGAATCAAGAGGGCGTGCGCAAAATGAAATAGCGCCATGCCGTGCGTGTATTTAAACTACACGTCACACTGTTTTCGACCAATCCAAGAGCTCGTAATATATA